GTTCTCACAAGTCAAAAAGAAGATAACCCTAAAAAAAAAAAAAAAAAGAAAAGGAAAGAAAAAAAAATAACCCTTCCAGGAAAAGAAATACACAGAAAACAAAAACAACCCTTTTCATAAATAAGAACAAATACCCAGTATTCAAAGATACTTCAACTCAGTGATAAACTCAAAGTAAAATAAGACATGTTAACAATACCTCCATTGGTGATGGGTTCAGAGAAGGAAGTATTATTAAGTTTAATTGGTAGAAACTGGGTTTCTACCTTAGGGGTTCCATCAAGTTTAATCAATAAAGTATATGCTACATTATCATTTTATGAGAGACTTCTCTATTGTGATGGTTAAAAAACAAAAGGAAAGAAAGAAACCCAGTTTTGCGTTAACCAAGTTCATCTTCCCATGCCGTGTTCATTCTCCCATGTTACACGTGCAGGTGTCTTGATATGCTCTCTACTTTGGTCTTCAGTAAGCCATGATCCTCCCAATCCTCTGCTCATTTCTCACCAGTCCCTACAGTGTGTACCTCTGCCACCTACTCTTCTCTTCTCTCTCAACAGGCAACTATCAAGAACTGTGCTTTTAGCCCTACTAGTCTCTTAGTTCCCAGGTTTTACATCAAGATTATATTTTTAATTCCAGCTACCAGTCATAGCAGCTGCTAAGGTTTGGAAATAGTTTGTGTCTCACAAAGGCTTCCAAGCTAAAATGTGAGACCCAGTGTAACAGTACTAAGTGGGATTAGTAAGACTAAGGCCAAGGGAAGGAGCATAGGTCAAACTGGGTTACTTCTCACGAAAGCAAATCTTTATAAAACGAGGTTCTCCCATGTGCTTAGCTCCACCTTCACATGGCCATTTCCCACTTCTTCCCTTTTCACCATGTTGGGACACAGCCAGGGAGCCCTCACCAGACACCAGCACCATGCTGTTTGGACTTTCCAGCAATCACTGTGAGTCAGAACCTGTCTTCCTTACAAAACACCCAGCCTCAGGTATTTTGGTATAGCAACAAAAAAAAATGGTCTAAGATGGAGCCCTGTCACCAAGTCTTATGTTTCAGCAGTATTATATGACTGCCAAACTAAAAGCATCATGTTGTAAAGTAGCTAGAAATTATTTTAAAAAGCCCTAGGATTGGGGTGGGGATTTAGCTCAGTGGCACAAAGCCTGCCTGGCAAGTGCAAGGTCGTGAGTTTGATTCCCGGTACCAGAAAAAAAAAAAAAAAGCCCTAGGATTGGGGCTGGGAATATAGCTCAGTGGCAAAGTGCCTGCCTGGCAAGCTCAAGGTTCTGAGTTCAATTCCCGGTTCCAAAAAAAAAAAAAAATCCCTAGGATACTCAATGATCACTACTCTTTACTAGTGTTTTCTGTTCAGTCCTAGGCTTTACCATTTAAGCAAACTATGGAAAGTATTGGGAGAAAGCTCACCAGACAGCAAAGAAGATAATGTGAAACTTCCAGACCAAAATAAAGGAGAGGAAAAGGCTTGAGAAGATATAATATGGTTCTGAGGGGATATGAAAAACTGTATGTAATATGACAAATAACTTTTCTTCATCTACAGCTAGGGTTTAAGGGAGGTGATTGACCTAAGCTTTTGGCTACACAAAGTTGTTCCCACTTAACTCAGAGAGTTCAGAAAGACCCAGTAAATCACTTCTTCCACTTACTATCACAGCTGGACCAATCACTCCGACCTTGAAGCCTAATGTTATCCTTACTGCCACTAGATAACACCCACTATCTTAGCAAGGTGAATGTTGACTGAATTACACTGCACAAGATATACAAATGGCAACTTTTATGTCATACTGTATATCTTACAACAATAAAAAATGCTTTACCAAACCAACGTATATAAAAACAGAAACATATAAAATGGGCAGGTTATTAAGATAAAGAGAATTGTTAAAGGCATATTCAAGACCGCAATTTACAGACTGACAATACAGAAAACCCGCCAAAGAACTTAGCTCTTGAGTTAAGGAACAATGTGCCCAGAGCGAGAGCTACCATTGCTAAAGGTCAAGCTCAGTTTAGTCTCAGAAATTAGGAAAAATAATAAAAATCACTCATTTACTGAGCCTCTGCTTTCCATGAGGGACTGAGCTTAGTATCCGTAAATGTGTTACATCCTTCAACTTGCGTAGCAAAGTTCATGAAGGAGGTGTTATTCCTGTTTGTAGGTACAGATCACAGGGATAAGAAAGACGCAACTTGTCACAATGCAAATTTGAGGTAAAAACGAGGATTTGAGAGGAGCTCTAACCCCACAACCCAGTCTTTCTGCTACCAATGCTCATTTAGAGGTAATTTTACCTAGACTCAGAGAGGACATGGTAATCTACTACCTTCCAATTCAAAGAACAGCCCTTCTGTGAATGCAACGGATGAAATCTTTTATCAAAACATTATAGTCATACCCTTAAAGAAAAATCTCAAAATTCAGTTTCAAAAAAAAAGCAGAGAAAGCAGCCTTTGCAAACAGTACAGAACCATTTTCCTCTCCAGGGAATCTTCCAGTACTCGCACTCACCTTAATGAATATATTGATAAAAACACCAATGAATATACGTATATATTATTGTTGTTAAATCAATCTCTCATTACATAGCCAGTGCATTAACACTACAAAATGCAAACATTTACAGAGCATCTACTGCATATAAGGTCAGTGAATAAATACTGTGCAAAAATACTAAAAGACTGAATCTATAATCCTGGCCTCTAAGAGCTTGTAAGTTTAGTATCAAAGGCGAAACAAACACACACAGGACATTGGAGAACAAAGGTGACAGACAAACATGCAAATTAACTAACACAACACAAACGGAACACTGATATGCTAAGGAAATAAAGTACGGATTTGGGGGCTGGGGATTTAGCTCAGCGGCACAGTGCCTGCCTGGCAAGCACAAGGTCATGAGTTCAATTCCCGGTACCGGAAAAAAACCAAAAAAGAAAAGAAAAGTATGGATTTGCCCAGTGAAGTTCCTGGAAGAAGTGTATCAAGCAGTCAATAAATGACTTTGAAGAAACACCAAGACATCCTTGGATAACCAATGGAGACTATTCCTAGATCCATTTTAAAATACTATCAAAATTCTAACTCACTACTAACAGCAGAGTTTATTAAGGACTGTAGGAGTTAATAATGTAAAGATGGTTATAAGGTTTTTTTCTTAATTTTCCTACAAACTGGCTAACAAGACTTCTTTTTCTTGCTATCATTAATCTCTAACACCACTTTTGATCAATATTTTCAGACTTAGAAGCTGATATACCAAGACAAAAGCCAGCATCACGAATACACCAAGGTTCTAAACACAGAAATGCTATACTGGAAAGTCAAAGCCGGACAGGGGAGACAAAATAAGGAGAGAGGGTAAGTAATGCCATTAATAAGGAAAGGGGAAGTGTATTTTCCAAAAGGCTGAGATGATGACTGAGGGCACAGGTTTCCCTCCTCACACCTGGAGCTGCCCGGGGGGTAAAGTGCACAGATAGTCATGGCTGGTGTCACATTCACAATGATTGGTTCTGGGAGTCACGTTCCTATTGTTTCAAATTAAATACAAACACAATAGCCTTCAGTACACGTCAGCCACTTGGGTTATTATGCTGCTTATTGTTTAAACCTACACAAGCATAATAACCCAAGTCCACACAGACTCAAGCTCCTCCTCCACAACCCGGCACCTCTGTGACTCTCCAAGTACTGTAGGCAGCTCTGAGATATGGAGTCTTCACTCGATTTTTTGTCCCTCTTATTAAATCCATTCAAAATCTCTCTGATAAAAGAGCAACTGACAGGCCTAACATACTTCAGTCCCTCTTTGGGAAATGAAATTGACTTTCTTCATTTTCACACAAGCAGATCCCTGGGTAACAACATTGTGTCCAGTCATACCCATACAAAAACTGTCGGCAACATTCTTCACTGTACTAGAGACTGAAAGGTTTTGTGAAGTTCTTGTGCTTGAAGAATTTAGACTTGCTGCTATGCCATGAGTTTAACAGCTGTAAGGGTAACTCATAACCAACAGACCGAATGCCGTGGGCACCCTCATCTGCTCCACTGAGCCACATGGGAAGTCAATTTCAGTCACAGGTGGCAGTGCCAGCTTCACATGCTCTGGGGTTGAAACCCACAACGTCCCTTCCCTTCTCTTCCCACCATGCCTGACGAAAGGACCAACCACTTTCTGCCTTTGACCTCTGACTTGAAGGTAAGGAATATCTGGGAACGATTTCCAGTGGAAAAATGTCAGAAGGTCAGGGTTCTTTAACGACCTTTCCCAACTCCCAAATTCATTAACTGGTATAGATTTTGCAAAATTTTAAAAAGTTTAATGGTGGCTTACACATAAAGGGAGAATATGAAGTAGTAGAGCAGTAGCTTTTCAATACTTTTAAGAACAATCCTAACTGAGGCTGCAGTATATTAACAATACAAGCTGAAGCAGTGTGGATGAAGGCAGGATGCAAACATGAACCCCAGCCAGCCACGTTCCCAGCCCCACTTGAAATACGTTTTGTCAAACAACCATCTGAGAGTCACTAACCTACGGAAAGAATACAAATATCCAGAACACGCACACTGCTGTCCAAAACTCTCCTCCTGCCCCTGGCACAGCCTGGAAAGCCTCCAGAAATACTTTGTATGACTTTTGTGGGAAGAATCCAGCCCCTAACAGTAATTTTACTTCCAGCGTACAGCACCAAGTTTTAAAAGGCATTTCTGCTTCTCTACTGTCCCCTGTCCCTTATTCTTCACATTTCCACACATAAATGTGGCACAAAACAAGCGGAGTAATCCCACTGCATTCTAAACACTAAGGCACATAATTTTGCGTAAATTTTTTCCCGTGGGTTGTGCTTGGTGGTTGACACACTGAAACACTCTTCTTCTACAAGACTGCCACCTTCTTCTCAAAGTTCACTTTAAATAAGCATAAAATAAGAATAAAAATCATTTATTAACCATGAGAACTAACCTGCAAACACGGGCTGGAAAATACAACTTTTGCCAAGACCGACACAGATAGTGTGAATGATCTATCACTCTGATCCAATCAAGTTCATCCATTGACACTTCAATAAAGTAGGAGTAAGAGCTACAAAGCAAATGAAAAAGGCAGAAAAAAAAAATCATTAAAACACAAAGCTATACTTAAAATATTAAATGGCATAAAAATATAGAATTTACTAATTACATTTTCTAATGAAAGTTGTATAAAATTCTTCTATTGTAACATGTATTAGAATTCTCTCAGCTTGTGTCTGTCTTATCAAATCATACACTGTTTAAACAAGGGCCACAGCTTAGTACTAATCAGACATGCACAACATTTATTCCTTTCAAACATGGTTAGGATGCCACGGCCATATCATATGAGCAAATTAATAAAGTTGAACAGGAGAAAGGGAGGGAAAAGAGAGGACAGAAAACAGAAGCAGGAGGTGTGCCTTCTTCCTTTAGGTGCCTGCCCTGGGTGCTCAGCCCTACCCTCTCAGGAAGAAAGCCAACTTGGAGGGCTCCCCAAGAAGGCTAGTTTATCTCCTGCTCCCTCTCACCCTCCTCCCATCCCACACATTCAAGCAGCCTGCAGAAAAATAAATGACATGGATGAAGAGATGATGCATGTTTCTTCTGGGTACAACTTAACACTTGCCAGCTAATAACCTAGCAGTAATGAAAATAGCCTATTATCCTCCCTAGCCAGCTACCCCGGACCATTACATGCTGGTCCCATACCGAACAAATCTATATTCCCTTGTCACAAGCCAAATTTAAATTTGAGATGCAGTTATTACTGGTACTGTAATATCAACAGGAACAATCTTGGAAGATTTAGGTGACCATAAATGTCAGCCTGCAACCCACAGTTGTGACCAGAAAAGGTCAGCTTATTTTGTGCCGTTGCCTCATTTTCTGCTGTCCCCTCAACTCCCATTCATTTTATTGCTCAGTCTCAAACTGGTTATAACCTTTTATTGAACCTCTCTGGGTTATCAGTAATGCAGGATATAATTTTAAAGTACGTCAGAATCTTTTTGGCTTAAGATTCTGAATTTTTCACCTTTGCTTAGAATAACAATTTCTGTGAGAAAAGAAGTTACATGGTAAAGTTAAGTCCCCCATGAATGTAACAGAAACTGTAAGAAGTTGACTATAAATATTTAACATCATGGAAACAATGATAACTGCTTTCAGTTTCAAATATTCCAAGGTTTTTTATTACTCGATACTAATTTCATTATTAATTAGATGAAATATGTAAAACTTTTACAATAGTGCCTACCACACAGGAATAATGGAAGCGCTATATAAATGTCATTACAGTTATTAAGGAGAGGCTCTTGGAAATAGACATGTGAATTAGAAGCACTTTGCCATTAAAGTTATGCCCGGTGTGGTGGTGGACACCTGTAATCCCAACATTCTGGGAAGCCAAGACAGGAGGATCACAGATTCAGTCTCAGCCTGGCCAGCCTGGTGACTTCAGAGGGATCCTGTCACAAAATAAAAAATGGTCTGGCATGTACCTCAGAGTGAAGGCCTTGGTTTCAATCGCCAGTAACAGCGGGGGAAAGTCAAATTATATCCAAGATACATGTCAGGAAACATATTCTTAATAAAAGGGGGGGCAGAGATGTAGCTAAACTGTAGAGTGCTTGCTCAGCATGCGTAAGGTCCTGAGTTTGAACTCCAGCACTGGAGGGAAAAAAAGACAAGGAGCTATATAACCTGGGGACCTCAAAAATCCACATACCTCAAAATGGTGATGCATCTCTTCCCTCATACATGGCTCAAATGGGTGAAAAGGCCAGGGTGTTGGCCAATGGAGCCAATGAGAGAAATGCACTACCCTGCAAAGTTCACAGGGCACCACCACTGTTACTATTAAGCCCCTCATGTCCATACCCAAAGACACCAGAGCAGGACCTAGTTTCTGGGTGTGTAGACTTTAGGTTAATATAAGCAGCAATGACAGAGATAGTTCAATCCTTATCTCCCATATTGCTCTGGTATTCTGCCATCACGGATGGACTCTAGAAGCCATTGTGGATAAAAGTATCACAGCAGCTAGAAAGAAAGCAGAATCCTGAGGCCACTGAGAGAATGGGTAGGTTCCTAGACTATGGCCCACCAAATTTTCCGATGGATTTCTTGTTTTCAGGATGATATTTATCCATACACTAAAAGACAGAAACTCTCTTCATCCATGAGATAAACTGCATTTAAAAAGAGTTATTACAGAGCTGGGGATATAGAGTGCTAGCCTAGCAAGTACAAAGCCCTAGGTTTGATCTCCAGCACTACTAAAAACACATACACATACACACACCAACAACCCACAAAAAAATTTACTATACTATCCAAGAGTAAGGAATCTAGTAAATAATGTTAACCTATATGGTGGCATACCAGAAAACCAATAAAAGTAACATTTAAGAGAAATCTTTTTAAAAGGTTAGAATGTTTAAAATACAACAATTAAAACGTGAAATTAGTTTTCTGTGTCTAACCTTTATTTTTTAAAATGATGTGCAGGTTTGTTGGTGTTTGTACACATCTGCACATATATCTATCCATAACAAAAAAGAATTAAGATGTGTTTTATATATATGTACCAACTCCTCACAAAAAACATAATCATTATGCGCAGCAAACACATACCAATACTAGTAAGTAAATAATTTCGTATTTATATACACACAAATGTTACAGGGCCAGAAACATAACTCAATGCTAGACACCTTCCTATCCCTGGGTTTAATCCCTGGTATGGGGGCATAATAATGGGTGGTGAGATTACTACCAATTTTTATTTTCTTCTATGTGGTCTTCTTTACTTTCTATTCTTCACACACACACACACACACACACACACACACACACACACACACACACACACCATATAGTCAGTATTTTTACCAACGGGGAAAACATGTCACTTTTTAAAACGAAATACAATCTGTAAGTCTTCCCACAAAATTAACCTTCAAGAAAAATAGCAGAATAACCACAAAGAAATAAATCACTAAAATCTGTAAAAGCAAAGCAGACCACAGAGTTAGGTCACTGCCATACAACAGCTCAGTTTCTAATTCAGGCTAATGACTCACCGGCTGTCCCGGTCCCACAGGAGTATCCGTATGTGATTGATAATGGACGGCTGACCTAGTTTAATCTCAATGCCCGAACGGCAATCATCATCAATTGGGTGCCTAGAAAATCCATGATCCAAATCGTAATTTTGAGTATCACCATCCAGGAGGGCAGACTTCAGTTCCCCTTTTACAACCTGGGCTCCATACTTCATAGTTGCAATGTTTTCTTCTGGTACTACAATTACAAAATAGAAAAAGTAGGGTTAATGGTTACTTAATTATTCTATATTTTTGTCAAAAAGATAAAATACTAGCATTCCAGTTGATCCGGTATCTCCACTTATTTTTAAAGTGGCACAGGAAAATCTACAGGGATAGAAGATATGGGATGCCTACAAGGACTGACAGCATTCAGAAGCGGGGTGTGGTGGCGCATGTCTGTAATCCCAGCACTCGGGAGGCTCAGGCAGGAGGACTGCCTGGAGTTTGAGGCCAGCCTGGACTACATAGTGAGTTTAAGGCTTGTCTGAACTACACAGCGAGACACTGTCTCAAGGAAAAAAAAAAAAAAAGAAGACCCCATTCAGAGTTTAAATTTAATGTAACTATCAACAGCTACAATGTGCCTGGGACTAAATCTTTTTAAGAAAAAGCATTACTGGGATGAACTCAGCTCTTCTGAGTTAATTCTATTAGCAGCTGGATGAAAATAGCATGTTAGATGACGTATACCTGCCATCTGGACTGAAGACAACATATAAAAGCAAAGCAAACAGGTCAGACATCTGATGGAACAACAGAGAGAAGGGTTCCAGTGTAACATAGCTGTTAGTCATGCATGGGTGTACTCAATCAATTCATCTAGCTAAATAAAACATTATATCTAAAGGAAAACACACTTTGACTCATTTGAGAGTTCTTTAAATGAAAATTTAGATTGTCATCAAAATTATTATAGTTATTAAATTCCCTCCCCGCTCCAAAATGAGGTTTATTAAGCACCAAATATGCCTGGAACCTTGAAATCTGCTATGCAAATCATGCTTCACAGCTTTGAAATTAGTCCCAATGTCCTGACCCTCTCCATGGGAAGGTAAGAGGTTTAGAAACCAGCTAAGAACGTAAGGAGTTTCACTTTAAACTGTAGCTCCACCTTTAACCAGGCATGTCCTCACTTGGGGCAAACTACCCTCTTTAAACTTCAATTTCATGATAGGGAAATATCTATCCCCTAGATTTTTGTTTTAAGGATTAAATGAGATGATGTTTATAAAGCATATGGTATACTCTTTAAAAACAGCTGTTACTATAGTATTAAACAAATATTTAAAAAGCACACAATAAGAACACTATAAACATGTACTGACTACAAATAAATACTGAATTCTCACACATATTTTGGCCTTGTGACTTGAAGATAGGAAAGTATGAGCTATAATCAGGCTCACAGAGAAAAGATGGTAAGTAATTCATCACTGCAGATTTCTTGGAAAGTTGGTTTTAAAAAATATTTAATAAGGATAGGTAAAGACATTGGTTCCACAAGAGAACAATAACTGTACCTGAAAAAGGGAGGGCAGGATGGGGTTTAATTAACAGACAAAAGACAGGTAACCAGCAAAAACAAAAGAATAAAACAGTCCAGTCACACTCAGTGTCTTACCACCAGAAGCTTAAGTGGTATAGATGGTCAGCTTTCTAGGGTCTACTAGCTTATGACAAGCATCCATATTCTGTTTAACAAACCTTGTATGATACATACTATTGCTAGATACTGTCTAAGCACTTCAAAAATACTATTTTCTTTGATTTGCTCCTCGAAATAATCCTTTGGCTGCAGCACTACTATTACACTCATTGTACATATGACAAAAGAGGAGGCAGAGACAGTTAGATGGACTTACTTGTCCAAAGTCAGGCAACCAGCAAGTAGAACAGCTGAAGTCAGAACCCTGGCAGTCACCTCCAGGGGCCCCATTTCTATGTATTCCTCTGCCACCTCCCTCAGAGGGAGGGTTTCTGATGGGATGACCATAATTTTTCCCTCTCTAATCCCAACTTCCCTTTTAGATTGCTCAAGGCCCAGAGCAAAGAAACAGGTAGTCTGACACAGAAAAGGAAAGCAGGGAGGCAGCCAGGGAGAGGAAGAAGGAGAGTTGAACTTAAAGTGAAAAAAAGTCTAGACTTGAGATTCAGTCTCTGTTATTCACTACTCCTAAATTTAATAAGCCTCTTAATCTCTCTTAGGCTGTTTTCTCATCTAAAACTAAGACTTTTCACAATGTACCTCAGTGTTACTTTAAAATTACACTACAAATAACATATGCTAAAGTACTATGTAGTATACAACATTCATTCGGTCAAGTGTTTATGAGGACTCACTCCACACCTGGTACTGTGCAAAGCATTGTAACTTAGTGAATTAGACTAAGAAAGGCCCTGCTCTCTGGTACCTCCAATCTAAAGATGGGGCTGTTCATTAGCAGCAAAAGAGCTTCAAATGTTATGTTTTTCAGTTATCAGTGATGCAGAACTACTTGGTAAAAATAACAGTATTTTTCCACCTCACTAGGTGTAAAATGTGGAGGCACGAAGTCTGCTGCTGCTGACCAGTGGAACCACCTCCTCTAGTTCTGATACCACACGTCAAAACTAAGGCAAAGAAGAACACCAAGCCACCTGTCTGGGTTCCTTCTCTCTCGTTGCTGGCACAAAATACCTGACACCCAAAATTAAGGAAGGAAAGGTTTATTTCCGCTTACAGTTTGTGGAGGTTTCAGTCGGTACTTGGCAGATTATAAGGCAGAGTAGCACATGGCAGAGGGCTACAGCTGATAGCCTGAACACAGCAAATGCAACAAACACAAGGGAGGAAATGGCCTCAAGCAGCCTCTTCCTCTCCCTTACATATGCAAACTATCCACCCCAGGGTGGGTGTAGCTCTCACACCCATAATCAATCAAACTCTAAAAGCCTGCCCCATGACCTCATGAGGCTTTGGGGGGACACCCAGACACAAACCATAACACTACCACAATCAGAAAATGATCTTACCTTTGATTTCCTCTCAACATGAGCTTCTTCAGCGCTAAAACTTATCAAGCTAGAAATAACACACTAGGCACAAGTTTCAAATAACTGTAACTAAAGTCTAAAATGCAAATGAAATTTCTACCACATGCTTAAGTCTTCTTCTGAGGTTTAGTTAAGAGTACTTAGGAAATTTTCTATCTGTTCTTGATAGGTTCATTCCTTGAGTATCTTTCACTTCAAAATGGAGAACATTTATACAAGTGGAAATTCTCTCACGGTGACTACAATATAAGAATCTTACAGGATAAAAACATAACTCCAGGTAATTTTCACAAAATCTAATTGTTATGTGATGAATTTAATAGAAAATGTGATCCTGAAAACATTCAAATCGTAAGAATTTTGAACCACAGATATTCTTAGTACTTGTTTATTGATAGAAAAAAAAAGAACTCTCAAAAAATACATCTTCGGGATTAAATAGAGTAGACAGCCATCAAAACTTACTTTATATTTGTAAGGTTTAATATAATTTTAAAACATTAAGAAAAAAATTAAACTTTGAAATTCTACAGCTAGGTACAAAGAAGTCAATTAGAAAAAATGAGAAATGGAGGATACATCCCCAGCTACACAGTACCAAAATCTGAGTGATACTGAGATAACCATCTTGTGTTTTGCTTGTTTTATGTTCTTAATCATCTCTTATTAAAACTCCATTACCTGTAGGTAGACCTGGTCGTTCACCCTCATGTTTCTTTAGATGCAAAGTTAGCTCTCTGGAATCTCTTTCCCTAGTTCTGTCACCTCCATCATTTCTCCCCATCTCGACTTCTATACAGAATGTATGGATTCTCCCTTCCTGCAGTGCTGTGCTACCTCACAACTGCGGCACTACAGATGACTTTCTTTTTTTTTTTTTTTTGGTTTTTCTCCGGTACCGGGAACCGAACTCACGACCTTGCGCTTGCCAGGCAGGCGCTTTTGCCGCTGAGCTAAATCCCCAGCCCCTACAGATGACTTTCTCAACTGCCACCTGAGCTTACCCTTTCCCGTTACCCCCTCTTTCTGCAGGCCTCCTTCCCACGTATGACAATGATGATATTCAAACACACTACAAAATGTACGCTAAAAATAATCCAGACAGAAGAGCCCATGGAAGAGCCCTGTTCTCATGAGGCTGAAGTCCAGCCCTGTGGTTCTAGCTTTAGGCACTGATAATCTTGGTAACATCAGGCAAATTCCCAAGAACAATCACTGAGCTCAATGGGACCATCACGCTACCTATTTTTTAAAAATGTTCTAAGTGTCCTTTTATGTAATGGCCACCATATTGGACTCAACCCTCAGGGGCTCACCGTCTAATGAGATAAGCACGTATCTGCAGCCCCTACACACCTCCACAGGGAAATAGTCATTAGAGAAATGCTTTGAGTTTGTTTTGTAGTCCTTGCAATATGAAGCCTAGGGCTTTGGCACTGAACTACATTTCCAGACTTTTTTTTTTTTTTTTAAAAGATATGAGACAGAGTCTCACTGAGTCACTAAATTGCCGAGGCTGGGCTCAAACTTGCAATCCTCCTAAAACAATCTCCCAGAGTGCTAGGACTACAGGTGCGTACCACTATGCCAGACTCCCAGAGATGACTTCTGAACCCCCTAGTTAACAGATGAGATTTACCCATCACAACAAACTATGGTTGGAAACAGACAATAATAACACAAGTTTGAGGTTTTAAAAGTATTAAAAATCCACGCCAGGAATAAAGCTCAGCGGCACAGCGCCTGCCTGGCAAGCGTGAGGTTGTGAGTTCAATTCCCCATACAAAAAAAAAAAGTACTAAAAATTTACTGTTGTTAGTGCCTGTACATGAGATAATACAGACTCAAATTCCATTTTTTTTTTTTTCAAATTCCATTTTAGAAGGAAGGAATAGATTCACTTTGTCTGTTTGTTTGTAAGTCTAAATCTAGGCACTGAACTAGGTGCTTAAAAAAAAAACCCACATCCGGTACCGGAGAAAAACCCAAAAAAAAAAAAAAAAAAAAAAAAACCCACAGGCAAAAAGACATAATTATAGTCAGTCCTCAAAAAGCCCAGTCTAATATGAGCTTAGGCCAGTAAGCCAACAATTATAATGTCACAAAAGCAACTACAATGCCTTAGTAGCCAGGCTCCCTCAGTGTGATGACTGAACGCTACAGAACAGGTCCAGGGCTAACAGGGCAGATTCCGCCTCCCTCTCTACTCTCTCCTCTTCTCTTTCTCTCTCATATTAACCAATAATTTAACTTAGAAGTCTTAGGAAAACACTGACTTTTACTGAATAAAGAAACCTTTGGATAGAGTTTGTGATATAGCACCTTGTTATAAAATGCAGAAACAAGAAAGTATCTTTCCCAAAGTCTAAAATCTGAGATAACACAAAACGAAGTATTACTTAACAGAAAAAGCACTAATGTTCCAAATAGAAATATCTCCATAGCTAAGATAAAACTGAATGTTAAAGGAATGGTACAGGTAGATCAAATATCCTAAGGAAAAAATAATTTCATTAAAAATTAGATAAATGCTCACCATTAATATGCATAAAACTAGTCTAAACTATCTTCAGAAAGACCACCTATCACTCATAAATTTAAAACATCCTCCAGATCTTTTTTTTAAAAGAGAGTTTAAAAATATCTCTAATTTGGTTGAAAAATCTTCAGGATATGAAGGTGTAAGCGTTAAACCTTCTAGAAACCAATACTAATGAACACAAAGAAAAAGCCCCTATGCTCCTATTCCCAAGACAGGATCTTCTACATTTCATGAAGAGTCCCTAAGGGAACACACCATATGCCCAAAGGTGGAAGGGGGCCAAATTCTGACAATAATTCCAAACTCAGCAGACCTATCTTTCTAAATCATCAGCCTAGGAACAGTTCTGAAATTTTAGACCTTTTTCCTAACTGAAGAAATGTGATGAAAGAAAATGTTTTGCTAATATTTACTTAATCTATTTTTAACGATCTGAGAGAAAAGTGGTATGCTTCCTAATTATTTATGATTTTACTATCCAAATATTTGAAAAGCCAAAAAAAAAAAAAAAAAAAAAAAACAAAAAAAAAAAAAAAAAAAAACAAAAACTGGGGCTGGAACTCAGGGGTTCTCTAATACGGAACTACCCTCAGCCCTTTTTACTTTTTATTTTGCAACAGGGTCTCGGTAAATTGCCCAGGTTGACCTCAAACTTGTGATCCTCCTACCTCAGCCGCCCACATACCTGGGATTACAGGCATGCATCACTGTGCTCGGCCAGCCTGCTATTTAATCATTATTCAAGTTTAGAAGTTAAGAGAAAAGATTCTCCAATATCCCCATAATCTCTTCCTTGAGCTCCCCCCAAACTAAAACAAACAACTTTTAATACTAATGAGCAATAATTGTGGTAAGTATATCATTCTAGAGCCTAGTGCCCCAACTGGTGATTACGCCTTTTACAAGTAATCTCATGGGTGTTTTTTTTTTTTAAGTAACCCAAGTCTAACACCTATAATGACTGGCTGATCAATTTCTAGCTACCAATAACTATGAGAAATGTCTGAAACATCGCCTCACTCCTGCAGCCATGTCCCAAGCCTACCCTTTTGACAAATCCAGTTCCAGAGCCCTATCAGCAACTCAAACCTAGGGCAAGAAAGGGAAGGGATACAGCTTATATAAGAGAGGATACAACAGTGAGGATTTGGAAAGTCTGTAACTACTCATCTCACCACATCTTTACCCTCTATGCCCCGATATTTTATCAAAGGCTAACCCTCAACTAAACCTCCAGCCTCTCCCAACCTCTTCTTGAAGCTATTTCTCCACCACCTGTTACCTCCATTTGTAAATCATATACCATCATATTATATCCACTGTCTTTTCAAACATTCACGGCCTAAATCCACGTGCAGCCAGGTTTCAGCCATTCACAAGTCTTATCTCAACTTTCATTCCCATTGACCCCCAGCACCATGAGTTACCATTAACCACTCCCTCCATATAACAGCTCTCTTTTGCTTAGTCTTTGTCATGCTCTCTATCTCAGCTGTCTGCCTGCCTCTCTGTTCTTTCTTCTCTGAGTCCCCTGCCTATACGTCTTCAAGTCTTTTCAAGACTTTGATTTTTCCTTCTTTCGTTATAATCTAGACCCAGTTTCAACTCTTCATCACCAGTTTTTTTTTTTTTTTGGTTTTTTGGTTTTACTCCGGTACCGGGAACCGAACTCACGACCGTGCGCTTGCCAGGCAGGCACTTTGCCGCTGAGCTAAATCCCCAGCCCCTTCATCACCAGTTTTGAGTCCTTAACATCACCAATGTGTTTCCACTTCCTGTTAGACACCTCTCCTGATTCATTCACCAAGTACCTGTTATATGTTAGTCAGTGTGTTATATAATGAGAACAGAAACATTTGTAACCCTACAAAAAGTGAAATGTTCTTTGTAAGGCCTACAAAGATCACCTCTGCCTCAGGCATCAAGGCCAAATTAAAAAAAGTTTCAAATAATGTGACCACTGTGATAATTCCCACATGCTTTGTCTTCTAGGCTTAGTGAAAAGCAATCTAAATCAGAAGAATCAGGTGAGGAGTCCAAGCGACCAAGCTAAGGATACCTATGTAAGGTCAGCCTTTCAGGTAAGTCCAAAGCCATGCGCAAGGAAGAGATCTCTCAGAACTGACTAGCATGAGGTACAATTTACAATGTAAAAGGTCCCAGACATCTCAGACTCAGTAAATCTTCAAAAAAAATTCAGCATCTCCTTCAAAGAACTTTTACATTTCTGAAATTGAGAAGTCAACATCGTGGTGTATAAGGAATACAATACCTTTCTTAGATTTTTGGCTTCTTAAGAGTGTAGAAAACATGATAACTTTATCCTAAACTTAACCAAAATTTAAATGCCTTGAATCACCAAGATCTACTATTCTTCCGTAATATTGCTTCTATACATCATTTCCCATTTTCTTGCCATGACTCTAGTTTAAGGCTGTATTAATTGTGCATCGATTAAATACCTTCCTCACTCGTCTTCCTGGGTCCATATTTTCTCTATTCAAAATCAAGTATGCATCATGGATCAATCTTTCCAAACTCTCACTTTACACATGCTACTGCCCCTCTTAAATTGGTTCCCTAATGCACATAAGTGAAATTCCAATCTTCAAAGATGCCCACAATGTAGCTTGAACTGACTTATGTACACTTTATTAATACTAATTACTATTACCATCATTTTTAACAAAAGCTTTCTCTTCTTCTTCCACAGTCCCTCAAACATTCTAACCCTAGTCTATTAACCTCACCAATCTTCCTTTCTGAAATTTACCCAGTCCATGCTTCCAAATCAAACTTGAATTTCATAATCTCCAGGAAATCTCCTTCAATCCTTCTAAGTCACTCTCTTCTAAAGTTTCATAGCACACACCCTCTGGAACATTGTTGTGTTTAAATTTTCTTAGGAGTTATATATTATTTACACAATGAAATTAAAAGGATGAAAGATAAAGACTATGCCTTACACTTATGCAGCATGATTTAGCGGTTAAATACACAGACTTGAGAACTGAAATGCATAGCTTTGACTCTCAGATCTTCATCCTTCTGTGTGACCGTGGGTAAATTACCTAATTTCTCTGTACTTCAGTTTCCTCCTTTGTAAAATGTAGTTAAAAACTGTGCCTACCTCAAGAAGTCAAATGTTCATGTAGGGCCTGTTCTCGATACATACATAAAGTAAGTACTTTCAAGTGATAATTGCTATTACTTTCATTAATAAGACAAATCACCACATAAGTGTTGGAAATGCTACAATAGTTTGCTATCATTACAGATGTTTCTTTTCTTTTTTTTTTTTTGGCTTTTTTCAGACAGGGTTATGCAGTTCAGGCTGGCCTTGATCTCACTGTGTAGCTCAGGCTGGTCTCGAACTCGCGACGATCCTCCTGCCTCAGCCTCCCAAGTGCTGGGATTACAGGTGTGCGCCACAACACCCAGCTTTTACAGATATTTCAATTTGCTATGTTAGTAGTAACTGAAATAAGTACACAGAAGTTTTCAATGTTTCTCTGATGGAGAACGACAGGAAAAGACATAGAAGAAAAAGAAACTTGTCAGGAAAGTGTCTTATTTATGACATCCAGAGGAGCAGTTGGAGAAATCTGTTCAGGAATGCTAAGAAAAACCATTGTTGGCAAGGTCTGTATAGCTAAGTAATCTCAGAAAGAGTGAACAGGAGAAAGCCATCACACACAATGCAGTTAGAGTTCACAGCCCATCATGTGTACCTGCACTGTAGTTTTATAGCTGGAGTTTTGTAGTTGGGAATGGCATAACATGCAATCAAAACCTCTTGGCAGGTTGAGGAACAACAGATACTCACTGAGCATGCCTCTATAATTGAGGTCCATGTCCCGGCTCTCTGACCGTACTTTAATAGCGTCCAGAATGGCATCAGGAGACAACAGTCCCGAAGGCCTCACAACGTTCAGAAGTTCAGTGAGGCTCATAAGAGGTAAACGTACAGCCTGCATGATTTCAGCATGATCTTCCTTTGAGTTGTGCTTACACCAGTTTAACAAAGCTAAGAAAATATCTTTTTCAGGAGCTGCAAATGAATCTCTTAATACGATGTTTAAAAGTGCTGTCTGAAAAGGACAGAAAGGAAAAATCCAGTTATGATGGAGTCCAACTATGTTCAGGATCAATCAACAAAACTTTGCAGAACCACAGTATCATTTGTATTTAGGTGACAATTTTTTTTTCCTGGAAGTGGGGACTGAACCTAGGGCCTGTGCAATAAACTACCTCCTCAGATTTTTTATTTTTTTGCACAGGCTCTTACTAAATCACTAAATTGCCCAGGCTGGGCTGGAGCTTGTGATTCTCTGGCTCAGCCTTTCAGAGTGCTAGGATTAAAGGAAATTAATTCTTTTAACCTCTTCCTTAGACTCTGTATCATGCATTCTCTTGCCTGTTGTGGCTGTGTGATCAGTAGGAAAGGCAGCAGCATCTTCATTTCCTGCCTCGAATACTCTACCACTACATAAAGCACCTAGCCTTTCCAATACATTTATACCCATCTTTTTTAAAATAGCAGAAGAAAAGTGACAAATGAGGAGCTATAAATGTATATGAGTTCTTTAAAAGAGTCAGTAAGATACATCTGGCATTTAAATTTCAAAATCTTTCACTGCACAGTATTACTGCTACCATATTTTTGGTTCTCAGCTCTCCAGATGGACTTCCATCAACACTGGTGCAATATTCAAAGATCTTTGTCTTTAAAAACTAAGTAGGATAATAAAAATCATAGTTCACACTCAAACCAAGATATACAGCTTTTCAAAAGACTTTCTCATTAGATACACCCAGGTTGTATGTGGAATACAAAAAGGAAAAAAAGGAGAAAAAACCACCAAGATTCAGAGAAAGATTTGAGCAAAAATAGTTTCATTCTATCTACACCTAATTTACTGTTGTAAGTTTTAAGTCAGCAAAAAAAAAGCAGTGACTTGAAGACATCAATGACATATCTTCTTTATGAATATTCCCTCTTCCTGTGAAGAATTTAGTAGCACTTTATCAGAGAAATAGAAAACCAGAAAATAACATGCACTATCACAAAGGACCCTTGTTTGACTGTGATCAGAAAAAAAAAAAATCAACACCCAGCAGTGAAGTATCTTTTAAACATAAAAATTCTCTGCAGAACCTTAAATGAAAACAGAACCGGGGGTCTGGGGATTTAGCTCAGCGGCAAAAGCGCCTGCCTGGCAAGCGCAAGGTCGTGAGTTCGGTTCCCGGTACCGGAGAAAAACCAAAAAAAAAAACAAAACAAAAGATCTCCACCCTGAAAACTACAGTACTCTGAAAGAGATCAAAGAAGATATCAGAAAATGGAAAGATATCCTTTATTCTTCTGTC